TTTGGTCATCGTTTTCATTTTGATGCGTTTTTCGACCATTTTCGACCGTCTACACTAATATGATATGTACGCGGTTTCGTTTTGATCCACTTTCAAGAGCGTTTTTCGCTGAAAACGCTCAACGAATTAGTGTGAATTAAACGGTGACTTAGTTCAATATGGACATAGTTACCATGTAGCCATTGTCTCGTGGGTTTTCGAACATGGTAAAAATGTATTTCACGGCGTATTTATCAGCAAGAGGGCCAGCCCGCCTGCTTATATAAAGCGGATTAGCCCGGCTTACTGGGCTGGCTCACCTCACATAAGCAGGCCCTAAGGTGTAACCGGGAGCAACGGTGGAAAAAATTTTAAGATAAAAACACCAATGAAAAACCAAGTTAGCTTTCGCGCGAAAACTTATTATCTTCACATGTGAAAATAACATGATTGTTATCTCCACATCTGAAAATGTCACCGTTGCTATGGCTTCATAATGAACCGCACATTTCAGACCAAAAAACTATTTAAGTAGAATGGTTTGGTATTTCATTGGTGTTTATATAATAAATAGAACATTACATGGCGCTTGGAGATACGAAATTTCTCTTCGCTGCGCTCACTCGTGAAATATTTTTCCAGACTCGAAGAGAAATTTCGTATCTCCGCGCGGCCATGTAATATCCACTATATCTTTCACTTACCTCGCTTATATTCTTATCTATATTAAAAGCAGGATCACCAAGTCGACTTCGCCAACCGTAACCAAACTTGAAAGCTTTAATGATCCTGTGATATGTCAACACGGAGGCATTTGTGCCATTACGGGCCGAGGAAGTCATATTGTAACCTATAAAATAAAGCTCTTCTACTTTAAATAAGTGTAAAATAATTGTTTCAGGCAACTGGTTTAACTTGCTGATGAATGAATGTTCCCTTGCAGGTTTCTTTGCTGTACAACTACACAGTGAAGAAACCCATCGTTAGCGGGTACCAACCCCCTTCCTCAGTGCTTCCTGTAGGCACATTTTCATTTAAGCAAATGAATGATGCTGTTGTTGATGATTGACGATGAACAAATTAAAAAAGTAACGATTTAGACACAATACATCCACTGAGTGGTACTTCGTCTACTTGATTCCTGATCGAATTGGAATTTGGAAATGTTGGTTTCAGAAGAGAGGAGACAACCGGACTTACCCGGAGAAAAACCTCTCGGAGCAAAGGAGAGAACGAACAAAAAGTCAACCCACATATGGCGCGACGCCGGAATAAGAACCCACGCCACATTGGTGGGAGGCGAGTGCTCTCACCACTGCTCCACCCTTGCTCCCCGCATGTAATGATGATGATGATGATGATGATGATGACGATGATAGCCAGCGAGAAAGCTCTCCGAGAGTTTACTCGAAGGCTGTGATGATGATGAGGGGGAGGAGAACAGAACACCTACCTACCTTTCAGTATATTTAAGATGAGACCTAGTACAGCGCCACTTGTAGGGGGAGGAGTAAGGAGCATTTTCATCCCCGCTAGTTCACTTTCTAGTGGCTCCCTGATCGCTGTTTGGTAGTCCCTCAGATCTTGTTTAGTGACCTGTCCCTTTCTTTCCTGGTATGGGGTGATACGTATTCTTATATCTCGAGAGATCATCTTAGCCAGAGACCCATTATAAAAAGAATAGGGATCATCTCGAATTTTTTGTAGTGTCATTGCGTACTTTTCGTTTTTGATTATAGTACCCTTTTTATAACGCTTGCCATTTTTGTCCAAGAGAAGTTCCCTGAAGTGTCACAATAAATAGCAATAAAGAGAAAATTACAGCACTGTTAAATAAGGCACTTTTCTAATACCTAATATTCTGTTTACAGGCAGCAGTTACAGCACTACGAACGAGTATCATGAAGCTATTATATTATGATCTCCCCCTAGGCTACATGTACAGATTATAACTCATCCAAGACATTTCAGGATAGTACACTAGGGACCTTCATTGCCTGGGACTTGTTATGCCGCTAGCGTTCTTTTACGTCCTAGAGAGTCAAATCAAAGAAGTTTTGTGCGACTGGGAGCCCCATGGGAGTACTAGCTCCCTATAATGTCCGGCCCGTATGGGGAGGCTCCACCTAAAAGGGGTACCTTTTCCAGGCTTCATGTGTATAAAAGGGTAGAGATGTCAATAGCTGAAATATATGAAAGGGTTGGGAAGTCTGTCATTTCGATCTGTAAAAAGACCCAAAAGGGCCAACAGATGAATTTAACAGCTGTGAAAGAGTCGAGAAAACGTTATGGTCTTGTAATTTATTCACATTTAAAAGACAGTGCATTTACAGCAGCTGAAAGGAAAGCAAAGTTTGTAGGTATGTGAAAGGGATCAGAACCATTTGACAATACTGAAGGTATACGAAAGGGTTCCTTTTCTGTCAAAAATGGCCTATAAAAGGATGAAGGGTTAACTCTCGGGGCGGAATCTCACCGTATAATACTTTCTCGAGTACCCCCTGGGCCAGGAGCCTACCACGGTTCAGTTTCAACTATCCCAATGAACCAAAAATATTTTGAAAAAGGATACCCGACACGACTCTAAAACCTCAGGCGCAGTTAAAAGCCAAAAAAAACAAAAACAAAACAAAACAAAATGTGATGAAATGATAGCTATTGCTCACCTTAATCCCGGATCCTTTTTTATTCTCTCTAACATATGGTCATTCAAGGCATCGGCCACTGCGGTGCTTATTTCAAATCCTTCTCTGGCTAAGTTAATGGCGGGTTGGACCAGATCTTTCCAAGGTAACCAACCGTATTCCTCCCAAGCTCGGTATAGGCCGTTAACCTCACCAGGAACAGCGATGGCAAGACCACCTAGAAGAAAACGATTGCTGGTTTTCGGTAGCCTGCGTAGCAAGCGTTTCCGTTTGGTTTGGGAGCAAAGAAAGACCGAGGAACGGGATTCTCGGCATTGGCCGCGCGAGAAATGAAACGAGTGACTCTTGTTCTTCATTCTTTGCTCCTAAACCGCATAGAAACGCTTCCTACGCAGGCTAGGTTTTTAGTGTCACGCCATACAAAATTGATCAAAAAAATAATAATAATAATAAAGACTGTTCAATAGATAAAGTCCGGAATCTGGGAAATAAAAGAAGGTAAATACACAAAGACCCCCGTCAAGATTCAGGTCAGAAGAATATTCCGTATACGAGACATCCGACGAAATGTTTTACCCAAATTTATAGAGATTTGTATGGAGACGCCATGCTGGTGCCCACCTGGATGAGCACCAACATGGCGGACGGAAACCAATAAAAATCTGTTTTCAAAACTATGGGCAACTTAAAAGAAAATTTTTGGTTTTTTGTACGCTAAAATCTGATTTCATGGAGGTAAAACGTTTTGAATTTTAAGACTTTTTAATATTAGTGCTTTGCCCTCCCTTTGACAACTTCACGTGACTGGTGCACTTGGCAGGAGTTGACAGCTTAAATCTGCCTTTCTTGATAGCAAACGGCATTAATTTATATCAGATCGCTGTATAAACACGTCTTGGTTTCTGAAAGCTGATAACATGAAACCAGTGTTGCTCAAACTGATTTCTTATCGTATTTTTCCGAGTTTTGAGCATCAGCCCGCTGAGTCTGGAAAGCTCAAATTTCAGAAAAGTACTACTTGTATCTTTTGGCCTCAGAAATTTTCTTTTAAGTTGCCCATAGTTTTGAAAACAGATTTTGAAAGAAGGGACAACGCTCTTTAACGTGGCATAAGACTCGTTACTGAAATCGAGGTACCAGTCGACGATTTTGGGCTTTGAAATTTGCCATTTTTTCATTGAACGAAAACGTTCAAAATATTGAAAATAATGAAAAATCTCCAAAATATTACATTTTTGTTCAAACTGAGTAAATCACCACTTAAAATGTGTGCAATTATGCACTCTTTTGAATAAGTTATTTGTTGTCTGCATTACAATGGATTTGAATTTTAAAACGATTTTTTTGTGACACATGGTCTCGGGCCTGGAAAACCCGGTCCTAGAGCCGCGAAACCAATAACTCCCCGTACGTGGAAAATAATTATCGGATCGAAGTAAAAATTACATTTATGTTAATAGTTTACCTAGTGCTACTTTGTGAATTTTTTTGACAATTTTCGATTTTTCACTTTTGTAGACCTCTGGTTGATATTTACTGACATCCGCTCTTAAGCAAGGACGTTTTTCCTGAGCGATGCACGTTAACCAAAGTAAACTTTTTTACATTGTTGGGCAGCAATTTTTCCCAAATTTTCTGGCAAATCATCTCAACAAGAGTAAAGATACTTAGCAAGAAGACCCATTTGGTAGCGTCAAGTCAAATTAAAAGGGAAAAGGCATCACTTCCGGTTGACGTGCATCAGTTCCAAAAACGTCTTTAATTATAATTCCAGCACGACACTGTGAGCAAGCACTCCAATCAAACGGCGAGAAAAGCGTGTCTCGGAGGCGCCAAGCTCTCACAGCTCTAATCTCTTGAATTTGCCATGCACCCCTTTTGCGTGTTGCTGTTGGGTGACATCGATCTCCGCCACGATAACCTGAATTATCATTGCAATAGAGGGAAATAGACATGCGGCCCCTGATCAAACAAATCGAGATTTCTTTTTCCTGTATGCTGACTGCATATTTCAATTGTAAGTACTTTAATTTCTATATATACTAGGATGCCTCCTCAAGATTTCGCCTTCTGGGCGAAATCCCTGCGGGGGCAAAAACGTAAAAAAGAAAAAAATAGCACTTACCATATTTGCATGTTTTTCCCTGATTCGGTTGGTGGAAACATATCAGACGTTGTCGCTGCAGGAGCAGTGTCCCTAAAGTCGATGACTTTAGCTTTCTTGAGTTTTCGAGTATAAACCAGCATCACTCCACCGCCACCAACTCCAGAAGACTGCATGTTTATGACTCCCAGACAGAACATAGCGGCAGTGGCTGCGTCTACGGCCGAACCGTTTGAGTTCAGGATATCATTGCCAATTTCGGAACATTTTTCAGTGTCCGTAGCAACTGCCTGTCTTGAATAGGGTCCACCCAAAGACGAAGGATTGTCTTCTTTTTTCTCTTGTGTAAAGTACCACCAAAGATAAACACACAGTGCGACCACAATACATATCCCAGCCACCACCAACACTACTCTGCATAACTTTTGGCAAGGGGAAAGCTCTCTCCAACAACTGAAAGAAACAAAAAGATTAGAGTTACCGTATTTCCTCGAATAATTGCCGGGGACGATTATTTGAGGAGGGCTATTGTTTCAAATATTGCTCACCGGAAGTCGTGCCCTAAATATTCTGTTTTATAATCCCATGAAATCAAAAAACTATCACATCAAATAAAATGAACATGGGCTTTTTAAGTGTTCCAAATTTGGTTCCTTGATTAATTTTTAAAGCTTGAATCGTCAGTGATCAGTTTGGCTGGATTAGATTCTCCTTCAACTTGACAGGGAGGTGATAAAAGAAAGAGAAGATGGCGGGAGGGGCTATTATTCGGGGGAAGCGCTGATTATTTCAAATATTTTCATTAAACGGGGACGATTATTCGAGGAAGGAAATTAATCGAGGGACGGCTATTTATTCGAAGAAATACGGTAGTTAACCACCCTTTCACTCCCACGGAGTGTCCGAGGAACACGTTCCCATTTTCCTTAAGGAAAAATTACAAGTAAAAACCGCCCTCGAATAAACGCCGCATCGAAAACACTTAAAAACTTTTATTAAACGCCACGGCGATGAATCGAATAAATTCAATAAATCAAGAATAAATCCCAACTTTCAGTTATTGGTAACACGAACGAACTACTGAATAGTAACGCAGTATTAGTGGTTATTTTAGTTAGTTATAAGCTCCAAACTTAAAATCTGCAAGGTAATGGACTGTACGGCCCGGCAATGATCCCGGGACCACAAATGATCCCGGAACGTAAATGATCCCCAAACCGGACCGCAAATGATCCCGATAAAAAATATGGAATAGCATGGATATTGGAATGGAGTGGATTTGAGAATGACGATAGACCTACAACTCTGGTCAAAACGTCTTGGGACACTTAAGGAAATGAGGCGCGAAACACGCCTTGCTTATTAAAATCGTATTTTACCCGTTACAATGCTTGGAGTTGTTGTTGAAGGAGCCCGTTCCTGCTGTCTCCCCTCCCCTCAGCTGGGGGGGGGGACGGGGGTGGGGGAGAGAAAATGCGTCATTTTCACCAGCTGTTGCGTTATTGTACCAAGAGTTTTGACCAGGGTTGTAGCAATATAGGTTTTTATAAGTGCATGACTTGTATTTGTACCACTACTTACATAATTACATAATATCTGGTTCCGTTTCTAGGCGTATATGCTCACTAATTTGGCGCATCTCAAACAGACAAAAAAAATGCGGACAATCGTGCTTAATAACGCAAATTTCATGAAAACGAAAACTGCTAGAGAACAAGAAAGAACGATAAAGAAGTTTGACATACAAAAAAATTGAGGACAAAGTGACATTAACTCGAAATCAAGGTTATATACCAACGGCCGATTACACAGTTCCGGTCGATAACACAAATGTCCATATAGTAATTGTTTTTACAAGACCCCACACAGCAATCCAGTCACCCCACTCGCTATCCATGGCCATTCTTCGCAGATAGGCCTCCTATGCGCCGTAATTAACGAATTCTCTGAAATGGGTTCCATCCGGGGTGACCGGTTTTTCCTTAATTGTCACCCCCATTTTACACTGAATATGGGCAAACTGAGGACAATATTGTCAAAGGCAGCATTTCTGGTGACCGGGTTTCAATTTAATAAATTATTTCTCGCTCTTAGTCGATCATTATTACACTTCGCTAAACAGTTACCAACCTAATTTGTATTAAATTTGTTTTCTAACGGTTTCTTTACTTTCTCTTCCTTAGTAAAATCCAACTAGTGGTCTATTATCAATGCTGCGTTCTGATTGGTTGAGCTACCACTAGGCTAAATGTTATAACCCACCAGTAGCGAAAAGCGCCGGCTCTGAAAACCAAAACAATGGCGGCTGAATAGCTTTTTTCTAGCTAAAGTTGTTTTGTCTCGATATTTTTGACCAACTAGTTGGATTTTACTAAAACAATTATTCATCTCGCCCTCATAGCCTCTGAGTCAATAGCCCATTCGGCGGCCTCATGGGCTATTGACTCAGAGCCCATTCGGGATCGAGGAAATCTAGGAATCATTTTTAAATACGAAGCACTTTCTTACCGCTAAAATCCGAAACTGTGCGACCCCATTCTAGTAACTATGTAACTCCTTCGAACTCCGCCGCAGATATCATTCTTCTAGATGACTCAAATGGAAAATTTATTGATATCAACAATTAATTCTCTTCCCATAAATCCGTCCGTCATATTTTCTCGCCAACCTTTACTACCTTTACAAGCGTTATTCAAACTTTCAACGCCTCCCCCTATTTTGACCCTGAAATCTTCACCGATCTTGAAAGAGACTTTTCTTTTTTCCAGTCAAACGCTTTCATTGTTTTAGCAGGTGACTTGAACGCACGAACCGGAACAGAGATAGATTTTGTTCCAGAAACCAATTCAAAATATATACGAGGAGATCAGTAACATTCCTACAAATGTCAGTCTACCTAAAAGAAGGAATAATTATTGCGACAGTTACATAAACCAACACAGACACGATATGCTTGAAATTTGCAAATCTCTGGATCTGAGAATCTTAAATGAAAGAACAAAAGGCGACACATTAGGAAAAATACCTTTTCACAGAAATAGAGGGGTAAGCACATTCGATTATATAATCACAAACAGCCATATGTATGACTGAGTGGACAGCTTTACCGTTTGCCAGCCTACACCGTTTTCTGACCACACTCCTGTGAAAGGCTGGTTCAACATTTCCTCTCCAACGAATAATTCTTTCCCTGAGATGACGGGAATTGAACTGAACGATCTTCCAAAACAATTTCAATGAAACTCCTTATCCAGTGAGAGATTTATCAACGTATCGAGTTCGAAAGACATTAAAGAAATCATTCAAGACAAGGAACACTTCATTTCATATGATAAAAAAGTCGTTCACAATGTTGTATCCCGATTTAACGATATAAATGAAACTGTGGCGAAACGCTCTCTTCATATAGGGGTAAAAACCCTAGGAAAACATCTCGAAGAAATCACGCCTGGTTTGATAAAGAATGCAAAGACTTTTCAAAAACACGTCAAACGAATGTCTAATTTAAAGCACAGAAACCCTCATAAGCTTTACTTAGAACAAAACGACAATGTTGAAAGATAATTTAAATCTACTAACTTCAGGATCAAACCCGAAAAGTTTTTGGGAGACCCTCAAAACTTAGAAAAAAGACCATAATCCAGAAATCAACAACCCAATTCCCCTTGATAAACTTTATGACTATTTTAGTACTCTTCACTCCAACTCAAAAGACCAAACCGACCCTGATGCTATAAACTTGAGCCAACTACTAGTGATCCTCTAAACAAACTTGATGACCCCATTTCTGAAATTGAAATCATATCAACTACCAAAAAACTTAAAACTAAAAAAGCACCTGGCCTAGATAGAATCCGCAACGAAATGTTAAAATGTGGTATTCATTACCTTGCATTCTCATTATCCATTCTTTTTAACACTATCCTAAAATGTGGATATCTCCCTGTCAGTTGGTCAAAAGGAATGATTACTGCAATCTACAAATCCGGTGACAAATCTGATCTTTCGAACTATCTTGGAATTTGTGTCTCTAGCTGTTTATGCAAATTATTTTGTTCCATCTTGAATCAAAGATTACACAATTTCATACAAGAACGTAACCTGCTACATCCTTCCCAGATTGAATTTCTCCCAGGATTTCGCACTAGTGATCAAATCTTTTAATTACGTACCATTATTGATATGAATGTAACCCATACACCAAAAAGTAAACTCTTCTGCTGTTTTATAGACCTAAAGAAATCTTTTGACTCCGTATGGCACCCTGGACTATTTAAGAAACTTTCACATTACGGCACAACGGGTTCAGTCTATAATACGAAATGTAGCATAAAATTTGGGAACAAAAGAACTGATTATTTTACCTATGGAAGAGGTGTAAGAGAAGGATGTGTCCTTTCCCCTCTGCTATTCAATTTATATTTGAATGAAATTCCCAATGTATTAAAAGCATAATGATGGTTTACCATTAAAAAAGGTGTTTCGATACAGTTTTTCAGAGGCCATACCTATATTTTTCAATCGCCTTAAAAGTGCTTTTCTCCATGTCTGATTGCTATAAATTTTTCACCAGTAATTGGCTATGGACTGAAATTTGTGAAAATGTAGTTTTAAGTAAAATCGATATTACTAGTGACAACAATAAACAAAAAACTTTGAAATTGATAAAAGCCGAATTTTGTGTGATTTAGACCAGCTACTGAAAATCCCAAACTAGGAACTTAAAGTTTGGTTTTTAGCAAACAATCTGCGTAAGAAGTAAAAAATTCTGCCTGTTTGAATTCGACTAAAACGAAAATATATTTCAAACCTTAAATTTTCAATAGCCATGAAAGATTATTAAATAAAAATGTTATAAATGACTCAAATTATTCTTAAGTAGCGGCAGAATGCTGCTTAATATCATATTTTGATGCTAGGAAATTTTGGTGTATTTTCGTTCTTGTGATCTTTAAAACTAACCCGTTTTCTCACCACCTGACTAAGTGCAACTTCATTCAAAATTTGGACTTCTATCGCTTTTTTGTAGATCTCTGAAACGACTGGAACGAATTATTTTAAAATCTCTTCACATAATCTTCATAATGTATATAATAATGTCTGAAACTTTTATTAAGATTGATTCACTGAAACAAATTTGAAATTTCAAGACAAACCCTGATCCTACGAACCTGTCAAAAATATGCGTAACAACGTTCACTATTTTGACGTCATACTAATTTTCCCAAAATAGTGCGCACTGTACATACCTCCTAAACTAGTACATTTTAGTTTGAATTTATCACATCTTTTAAATGTAAAGTATTGACAACACTCACGCTGAAATGTACTAGTCATGGATATATGTATTGTCCGCATTTATTTGGACTATTTCGAGACATTTTCGAAAGACGAAATTTGTGCGATACATGAA